GATGTAGTCGATGATCTATCCGATCATCAGAACACTGAGAAAAGGTCAGCCAGGCAGGAGGAGAACCAGGAGAGAACAGGTTCATGGAAGGCCAGAGCGCTTCTCCAGAAGAAGAGGATGGTCAGAAGAGTCAAATGCAGCAGAGAGGTCAAGAAGACAGAGAACTGAGAAAGGACTATGGGATTTTTAGTTAATAAGTAGGTAGTAATGGGTAGCTTTAGGATCGAACAGTTTCAATTGAAGCTTAGGGAGTAAGTGAGAAGATTGGAGGTAGAGTCACCTGGAGCAGACAGTCTTTTTTCCTAGATGTTCCACTGGGAGATGAAGGAGAGAAAAGAGGATCTTAGCTTGAGGGGTTGTTAAAGTCTACTGAAGATTCTTAGAGATGGGGGTGATTCGAGCATCTCTTAAGGGGTATGGAGGGTTACAATATAAAAGGAGGGGGATGGAGAGAAAGTATTATAGAGAGATAAAGAGTGAGATGGGGCAATCTGTTGGAACAAAGGAGAGAGCATGAGTTGAAGGGCACATGTAATGACGTTGGCCTTGACAAGGAGCATGGCTACCTGACCATCAGATATTGGGGAAAGAAGCAAGAGAGTAGGGGATGATGCCAAGGGGGTCTGAGACAAAAAGAAAGGCTAAAGAGGGATTTCATGGGGAGTGGCTTCAGTTTCCATACTGAAGGAAGAGGGCAATTCCTTGCCTGACAGAATGGGATGAGAGAGAGAGAGAGAGAGCTGTGTGAGCAGGGGGTATGGTGGTAAATATTTAACAACCAGTGCTCTGAAAGGAAAAATGTCTGCATGCAGAGCACACTATTAGTTTTTAATTCCATTATTAACATTTCCTCTATTCTTAAATCTAGAAAATCAACAAAACAATAAATCAGGCCCTCAATTTGCTCATTCCCAAGGTGTAAATGCTCACATTGAAAATTTAACATCCGGCTTCAGTGAGCTGGTACAAGCTGCTTCCAGAATGTCCTTTGTGTGAGAGTCCAGGTGAGAAGTGAAGGTTTGGAGAAGCATCTATAGGGAGAAAGAAAGAGAATCAACTAAATACATTAGAGAAACTTGTTCTTTCTTTAAATTTTGTGAACTTGGTGCCTACAAGGGAAGTTAATGTTAACATGGTATAAGACAAGACTTTCCTAGATTGTCCAGAGAAGGAAGGATCCAGAGAAATGAGAAGTCCCCTAGATGAGAAAACCTTCCTGTTAATGGGGAGCCCCTGAGATATACATTCTATAGTTCCCAAATAGTTTTTGTAAAAATGAAAGTGACCTGAATTAGCCTCAGAGAGCCTGGAGGCTAAACCCAGGCTCTTCTATGGTGGGACCTGCCCATCTTGGAAGTCACACGGTCTAGGAGGAACAGAAGAGCTCAGCTCTAGAAGTAAGTAGATCTTGGTCCAGTCCTGATTCTTTCACAATCTCTTTGTGTGACCCTGGGCCAGTCATTGAAATTGCCAGGAGGTGAGGGGGCTGCAATTTCCCAGCAGAAATCTCTGGAAGGGCTAGAAAGGGGCTCCAAGTAAATAAACTGCAGTCTAGTGCTTTATGTAAGGAGAGAGGGTCCTGATACATCAGAAACAGTCACATGGGCTTCTAAATTTTGCCATGACTTAGGGCCCATCTTAGGAAGGATATTGAATTGACTACTGAGAACCAATTCAACCACCATTCAGTAAGCACCTACTATACCCCTAGTACTGTATGGAAGATGCAGGAATTTCTATCATTAAGAAGCTTAGAATCTTGTTACAATTGTTAGAATTTTAGAATCAGAGGTGGGGACACAGTCAATAGAACGCTGAATTTGGAGTCAGGAAGACATGAGTTCAAATGCTGTCTCAGATCCTTACTAGCTGTGTGACTTTGGACAAGTCACTTCATCTTTGTTCCCTCACTTTCACCATCTGTAAAATGGGGATAATAACAGCCCCTGCATCCCAAGGTTGTTGTGATGACACATAAGAAAATATTCATTAAGTGCTTTGCAAACCTTAAAGTTCTAGCTCTTATTTTTAATTGAGAGGAGAGAATACCTTCGAGTGATAAGAAAACAGCTGAAGGCCATGTAAGTGCTCCAGGATTCTGAGTGAAGGAGAGACCAGCGTGGGCTGAAGAAGCTGCATCTTGAATTGGGTTCCAGAAGAAGCAACAAAGGTAAGGGGAACTTTGGGAGGTAGGAATGAGGCTGATTGCTCTGAGGGTTACTCAAGAGCAGGATTTATTCTAAGGCGTTGGAAAGTAGGTTTGTAGTAACTGGGGAGAGAAAAGGAAAAAGAAAGTTCTGAATCATGTGTTCCTAGATAATGGGGACATAGATTTAGAGCTTGCAGGGAACTTGGAGGTCAACAAAGCCATTTCCTTTATTACACAGATGGGGAAACTGAGCCTCAGAGGAGTTAAGTGGCTTGCCTCAGACTAAACAGCTGCTGAGGGTCTGAGGTGGGATTTCAAAGCAGGTTTTCCTGACCCCTGGTCCAGTGCTCATTGACTCACCCAGCCGCCTCTCTCCGGTCTCAGCTTCCTCGTGGTTGAAATGACGGTTTTGGACTAGGTCGATGGTAACGTCCCTTTCAAATCCAAGTCTATGGTCCCATGGTCCTGCTCCTGTCCTCCATCCATTCCAGTCCCCTTGACAACACCTGACAGACCCACAGTCCATCACCAGAATGAGCTAAAAGCTTTAATCTATTGAGAGTCTTATCCATACAGAAATACTCATAGCAGCTTTTTTCATAGTAACAAAAAATCCTGGGGACTAAAGGGGTGCTGACCTACTGGGGAATGGCTAAACAGCTCATGGTGTATGAATGGGACACCATATTCTTATGCCTTAATGAATGACAAGATGGCCAGTTTCAGAGGACATGAGAACACCTCAGTGACATGATGCAGACCAGGGCAGTGACAACAGCCTTACCAAGAAAGACATCTCACCTGTACCCCCAGACCCTCCTTGCTGCCACCTTCCCTTTTACTGTCCAGGGCACCACCGTCCTCCTCCTGATCACTCAGGCCCCCGATTTCAGTGTCCCTGGGGCTCCCCAGCTGGGTGTCTTCCTTCCTGAACTCATTACTCTCCCTTTATTCTATGTCCCACCAAGGCTTGTTCTCTTTACACTTGTACCATCTTTCCCACATGACCCCTTTCCCTCCTCTCTCACCCTCAAACCCCAAAGGCCAAAATCCTCAATCCCTTCATGTCTTGGCCACCACAAAGAGCATCAGAGTCTGCCTGCCTCAACTCTCCTCACTGGCGTCTATACTCCACTCAGATGTCAAAGGGATCTTCTTCTTCTTCTTCTTTTTTTTTTTTTCAAATTTCATTTATTTTCTTTGTTTCATTTTAAGAGCTAAATTGTTTCTTTCCCTACCTCCCCGAGTTGCACTGGAGAAGACCACTATTTGAAACTGATAAGTATAGAGAACTGTATGTGTAGATATGTATATGTGAAAACCCATACTATGCATCAATTCTGCATCCATTCTTTCTCTGCAGGTAGATCCCATCTTCCTGAATGGGTCCTTTGTAGTTTATAGGAATGTTGACAATTCTCAGAATAGCTTCATGGTTCCTCTTTGAACAACGTTGCTGTTACTGTATCCAAAGTTCCCTTGGCTCTGCTCATTTCACTCTTCTTTATTGCCCACAAGTCTCTCCATGTTGTTCTAAAACCGTCCTCCTCCTCCTTCCTAACAGCGCAGTCACAGACCACAACTTGTTCAGTCATTCCCTAGCTGTTGACCCCCTCAGGGTCCAGTTCTTGCTACCACAAGTGGTGCTTGCTCAGAGGGGTCTTCTTCAAGTAAAGCTGTCACTATGTTACCCCCCGTGCTCAATAAACTTCAGTGGCTCCTTATTATCTCCAGAGTCAAATATGAAATGTTTGCCTTCAGTGACCTACCTTTGCTTCCCGCCCACACACCCACCCACACCTTTCCAGTCTTCTTCCACTTTCCACCCTAGTGCTCCCCACGTGTCCTACCATCCAGTGACACTGGTCTTCCTGTTCCTTAAAGAAGACACCCCACCTCTCAATTCTAGGCTTTCTCTCTGGATGTTCCCCATGCCTCCTGATGTTCTCTCCCTCCTCTCTGCCTCCTGGCTTCCCTGCCTTCCTCCAAGTCCCAGCTAAAATCCCACCTTCTCCAAGAAGCCTTTCCTGATCTCCCTTAATGATTCAGGAGGAACATTGTTTCCTCTGTTTATCATTACCAAGTTAGCTCATGTAAATAGTGTTTGCACATAATTGTTTGCATGTTTTCCCTCCCCATTAGGCTGTGAGCTCAAAGGCAGGGACTGTTTTTGCCTTTCTTTATATCCTCAGCACTTGGCACATAGTAGGAGCTAAAAAATGTTTATTGATTCAATGACTGACAACTCTGAGAGAATTCTAGCTTTGCTCAGTGGATTGTGACACCATGATATCTGAGGAACTGAGGATGAAGCAGGATCCCCACCTCTCTGGCAGGAGGAAATGGACTCAAGAGGCAGAATGAGACATATTTTTAGAAGGGGCCAATGTGGGCATTTGTTTTGCTGATCTATCTAACCTCTCTGTCTGTCTGTCTATCTATTTATTGTGAGGACTTTTCTTTTTAAATTTTGCAATAGGGGAAAGGAAAAGTGCAGGGAGACTGATAATAAATGTGGAAAATATAAATAAAGGAATAAGTAAATAAATGCAAAAAAAGAAAACTGGGTCCGCTCCTTGGCACCATTGGGGATTAGAGTAAGAGCTTTATTCCTTTTCATGCAGCAGGATTTAGGGGTCAATACCCCTGAAAACAAGTATTACAATTGATTTTGGGGAAGAGGCTTTTAATGATAAACTAGTGCTAATCTCAATTTAAATGCAATCAATAAAGCAACAAGCATTTATGAAGTACTCAGTGCCTTCCCTGTAAGATTCTCTCCAATCTATCCTATCTGTAACTTTTTTGTACATAGCTGTTTGCTCCTTTTCTCTCCCATCAAACTGGGAGCTCCCTGAGGAAAGGAGCTGTCCATTTGCTTTTTTTTATGTCCCCAGCAGTGCCTGGCACATAGTTAAACCCTTAGTTAATACCTGCCGAGTGACTGACCCATAGAACTAGCATTTATGAAGGGCTTACTGTGTATTAAGCTCTGGGCTGGATGAAGGAATTACAAAGACAGAAAACAAAAGAATAAGACCCTTAATATTTAATTATTGACACTAGCTGCCTGGTGTGTGTCCTCTGCCCTCTCCATGATGGTTCCCTTTCCTCTTTTTGCTTTAAACCCCAGAAAAGTCATGTGTTCCTCCTAAAATTTTTCATAGCAGTTTACCTGGACCTTTTCTTTACACTGAACATATCCTCACTTTTATCACAGTTACTCGTGTACAAGTTTTCTATGTCCTTCCTCCATGAGACTGGAAATACTTCAAGGGCAGGGACTATGTCTTGTTTCAACTTTGTATCATCAAGGCTCAGTGTAGTAGGGATTCTTAACTTTTTTTGCTGCCATGGCCCCTTGGCCATCTAGGGGAGCCTCTGGACTCCTAAGAAGAATACTTTTAAGTAACTGAAGGAAATGTCATATTTCAGTCTGAAGTTAGGAACAATAAAGATGTAATTTTTTCCTAGCTAATTTTATAGATTAACCCCTTGAAATGTATACAGGAACCACAGGTTAAAACCCCCCACCCAAGTCCAGTCCATTGCCTATGTGGGGCCAAATCTTTCAGTAGCAAGACTAGGGTGGTTCCCCCCCATCCCACTTATTGCTTGACCTTATAAATCTTTGCTATGTGCTTGGGACTGTGTGTGGAAGGATGAAAGATATGTGGAATTTTAGACCCCAGTGGTGCATTGGGTGATGTGACATGAGGAAGTACTCCAGAAGGAGGGTTGTGAAAGGTCAGGCTTGTACCTGTGAGGAGAGAAAATGGCAGAACTTTAGTACAAAGGAGACATGTCTATGACAGTCCTTGTTTGAGATTCTGTCTGTGTTTGCTGGGGTAGGGGAGAGGAAGGGTGTGGAATAGACAATGAATCTCCATGATTCCCCACCCCACCCCCACACTCTCTGCTCCCCCCCTGACTTGGAGGAAGAGTGTTGCTAAGGAACATTGATGCAGGTTTTTAGAAACACCAGCCAATGAGAACCCTGGAAAAATCTGCAGACACCTTCGCCAGAGACTGTTCAAGTGGCTCATTATACAGACCAGCAGAGGAGAAATGTATTGTTAACTCTTTGGGTTCTGAGAAAGATTTGGTTTTCCTTAGCTTTTCAAGGAAAACAAGCAAAAATTTATAGAACCTGCTATGTTCCCAGCTCAGTGCCAAGTCCTGGGGATAAAATGTGTGTGTGTGTGTGTGTGTTACACACACACACACACACACATATACATATATACACTTATATATGTGTGTGTGTGTGTTACACACACATATATACATATATCTCTATATAGAGATATATGTATTTATATTTATACTTGTGTATCTGTATGCACACACACACACACACACACATACATGAATGTAAAGAAACCTAAATGAAAAAGGAATTGGCACATTCTGAACTCTACCCGTGATTTCACTGATACAGGGTACCCCCAGGTGAGGAACCTTTCTCTATGGGTGCTGCAGTTGGGCACCTTCTCTGCTATTTACCATTCCAGTGAGATGCTCAGAGCACAGAAGTGAAGTGACTGTCCCAGGGGCATGGACACTAGACACTGAGCCAAACTGGCTTTGAGACTGGCTCCCCATCCATCCTAGGCTGTGGATAAAAGGCAGAAAGAGAAAAAATACAAGAAAGTTAGATACCAGGGAATTAGGAAAGGATGCCATTAGCAGGTATGGTTTCAGAAAAAGAATGTTTCATGTGGAAATGGTGCCTGGGTTGAGTCTTGAAGGAAAAGAAGGGATGTATGAGGCTGATTTGAGGAAGGAGTGCTTTCTAGACATGGAGAATGGCCAGGACAGATTCAGGGAGACAGGAAGGGGGAGGGTTTTTGTGAGGATCAGAGAGAAGGTGAGCTTGTCTCACAGGGTTCAAGATAGGGAGTCATATCCAAGGAGTGGGTGAAGATGGGTTGTGACCAGGTTGTATTGGGCCTTCAGAACGAACAGGAGAAGTTTGCACTTGATCCTAGAGGCCATAGGGAGCCACTGGATGTCCTTGAGTAGGAGAGTGACAAGGTCAGATTTGAGCTAAAGGAAAATCCCTTCTGCAGCTGCTGGGCTGGAAGGGAAAATATTAGAAGCAAGGACACCCGTTAGGAGGCCATTTCCATTATCTCAGTGAGAGGTGATTGGAGCAGGAACTGAGGTGAAGGCTGTGTGAGGAGATAGCAGGGGCCTGATGAGAGAGATATGGTGGAGAGATGGATGGCCAGATTGGGAACTGATCGGACAGGTGGAGTGAGAGAGAATGAGGAACTGAGGAGAATTTTGAAATTGGGAAACAGGAAGAATGGTGGTGCTTTCAACAGAAATAGGGCAATTTGGGTGATAGGTGGGGCTAGTGGGAAAGGTAATATAGGAGATCTGTTTTGGACCTCACAGCATCAAAGAATTTTCACGTTAGTAGGGATCCAGCAGCCATCAAATGCAATCCATATTCTAAAGGAATCTTCACCATAACACAAGTAATAAGTGATCCTCCAACCTCTGCTGGAAGCCTTCCAAGGTGGTGCCTCCTCCCATGCCCTCCTGTCTGTGCAGCCTATTCCCCTTTGGCACTTTCTGGACAGCTCTCATTGGTAGGAAGTTGGGCAGTTTTGACTGACATTGAGCCTCTTTCCCATTAGGACACCATCCTCCTGGTTCTGTTTTCTGGGGCCTTTTCCCCTGTGACTTCTCTACCTACACTTGATGATGGCTTTCATGTCTCCCCTATGCTTCCTTACTCCAGGCTAAACATCCCAAGCTCCTTCAATTAATCCACATGTGTCATGAACTGATGATCTTTCACCCTCCTGGCTATTCTTCTCTGGATACTGTCTGGCTTTTCAATGTCCTCAGTCAACCATAATGCCCACAGCTCAACATAATCCTCAAGATGAGCTATATGAAGGGCAGAGAAAATTGGGACCATCCCCCACCTCCCTAGTCATGGAATCTGTGCCCCTGTTAATGCAGCAGGAGATTGAATATTGGCTACTGCACCACACTGTTCACCCATTTGGGGCTCACAGTGCACTCAAATCTCCAGATCTTTTCAGAAAACCTGTTGATCCATGCCTCCTTCAACTTATACTTGTAAAGCTGACTTTTTTTGTACCCAAGTAGAAGATTTAACATTTGTCCCTACTGAATGTCATCTTATTGATTTTGTGATATCTCTAGTACATTGTGATTTGAAATATCTAAACAGGCAGTTGGTGAGGTGGGCCTGAAGCTCAGGAGAGGCTGAGGCTGGACATGTAGATGTGTCATGTGCAGAGGGTTGATCATTAAACGCAAGAAGCTGGTGAGGTCAGAGAGAGTGAAGGAAGAGGCAGAGTTAGAGAGAAATAGAGAACACAGTGAGAAAGGTAGAGGAGAAAGAGAGAAAAAAGAGAGAAATAATAGAGAAAGAGAAATTAGAAGGATAAGAGATGGAAGAGAGAGAGATGCACACATACACAGAGACAGAGACAGAGAGACAGAGAGAGAGAAACAGAGAGAAAGAGAGATAAAGCCTACTGGGAAATGGCTGAACAGCTCATAGTGTATGAAAGGGACACCATATTCTGATGCCCTAATGAATGACAAAATGGACAACTTCAGAGGACATGAGAAGACCTCAGTAACATGATGCAGAGCAGGACAGTGACAACAGCCTTACCAAGAAAGACATCTCATCTGTACCTCCAGACCCTCCCTGCTGCCATCTTCCCTATTACTGTCCAGGGCACCACCCTCCTCCTCCTGATCACTTAGGCCCCCGACTTCAGTGTCCCTGGGGCTCACCAGCTAGTGTCCTCCTGGATTCCTCCCTCTCTCTCACTCCTCTCTATTTTATCTCCCACCAACAGTTCTGCATTATACTTTTGTGAGACCTTTTCCCTACTCTATCGCACCCCACCTTTGCAAACTCCTAGGTGCCAGCCCTCATCAGCTCATACCTTAACTACTTCAATGGTCTGCTTGGGGGGTGGTCTGTCTTAACTGTCTCCCCATGGGAGGCTATCCTACACTTACTTGTCAATTTTTTTTTCTTTTTAAAGAAATTTTAATGTTTTTTTTTTCATTTTAAGTACTAAATTGTTTCTCTCCCTCCCTCTCTATTTCACACCAGAGAAGGGCACCATTTGAAACCGATATGTATACCTTTCAGTTTGAGATTAGAGAAAGTAAAGAAGTAATTTTTTTCCCCATCTAATTTTATAGACCCTCCCTTGAAATCTATCCATAGGACATAGGTTAAGACCTCTCGTCAAGTCCCTTTCACATGTGGGGCAAGATCTTTCAGTAGTAAGACCAGGTTGTTTCCCCCCCATCTATTCCCTGACCTTATAAATCTTAGGTATGTACATGAGATTGTGTGTAGAAGGATGAATGATATGTGGAATTTTATATCTAAATGGTGGACTGGGTGGAAGGGACATGAGGGTGAGCTCGTGAAAGGGGGCTCTGAAAGGCCAGGCTTGTGCCTGCGAGGAGAGAAGATGGCTGAATTATAGTACAAAAGAGCAGTATCTATGAGAGCCATTTTAAAAAAAATCTGTGCTGTGATAGTTGGGCTAGAAAGTCTAAGCACTTTTAAGAGACAATGAAGCTCCATGATTCCCCACCCCACCCCCACATTCTCTGCTCCTCCCGACTTGGAGGAAGAGTGTTGCTAGGGAACGTTGGAGCAAGTTTTTAGAAAATCCAGCCAATGAGAGCCCAGAAATGATCTGCAGACACCTTGCGCCATAGACTGTTCAAGTGGCTTATTATACAGACCAGCAGAGAAGGGATGTATTGTTAACTCTATAGATTCTGACACAAGTTTGGTTTTCATTTGCTTATCAAGTAAATTAGGTAAGCATTAATGGAAACTGCCCTGTGCTAGGTCTGAGGATACGCATATGTGTGTGTATATATGTACATAGACATACATGTATATACACACAGAGAGACATAGGTATGTATGTATGTATATAGCTGAGTATATATATATATATATATATGCGTGTGTATATGTATACACCTCTGTGTGTTTGCATTTATCTATATGCATCTATACATACATATATGTAAAAAAACTAAGTGAAAAGGGAATAGGCACATTCTGAAGTCCACCTGTGATTTCACTGATACGGGGTACCCCCCCCCAGTGAGGAACCTTTCTCTAGGGGTGCTGCATTTGGGCACCTTCTCGGCTGTTTATCATCCCAGAGAAATGCTCAGAGCACAGGTGAAGGGCATGGGGCAACTTGATACTGGGGCATACAGGCTTTGAGCCTGGCTCTCCATCCATTCCTAGGATGTAGATAAAGGCATAAAGAGAAAAAATACAAGAAAGTCAGACACAAAGGACTCCGTTAGCAGTCATGGACTCAGGAAAGGAAAGTTTCATATGGAAATGGTGCTTGGGTTGAGTCTTGAAGGAAAAGAAGGGATGAGTGAGACAGAGGTGAGGAGAGATTGCATTCTAGACATGGGAATGTCCAGTGCAGATTCAGGGACACAAGAGGGGTAAGGTTGTTTGTGAGGAACAGAGAGAAGGCCGGTTTACACGGCAAAGTTCAAGATGGGGAGTCATGTCCAATGAGGTGAGAGAATATAAGTTGGAGATAGGTAGTATAGGGCTTTAAAAATTAATTGGGAGGGAGGATTCTGGGAAAATGGAGGAACAAGGCTGGAAATTACTTTTTAAAAAAATTCTCCCACAAACAATATAAAATAATACCTCGTAGTGAACTTTGAGCAGCAGAGATCATTAAAAGTTAGGGTAAAACAGATGTTCAGCCCCAGACAACTTGGGAAGACTGAGGAACGATCTTACCTCCAGGTGTGGTGGTCTGTCCCTATTAAAGTGCAAATACCTCCAGGGAGATAATGCCAAATCAACTAACAACAAACCATGGAGGCAGCTGTGTAGGGGACAGCTTCAGCTTCAGAAACTTTCACCCCATGGACCTTGTAGGGGTCAGGTGGCTGATCAGGGGCAGATTGCAGTACAAGCTGTTGCTGGATGCAGGGCTCAGGTATGCTGATCAGAAAAGGTCCAGGTCGTGGCTGCAGGCAAGGAGCACAGCTGCAGAAGGGATGCAGGGGTCCTGCCCACTGTGGTCACTGACAGGAGAGCAGAGTCCCTGATTTTGGTTCCAGGGCAGAGGAGTGAGCTGAAGTTTATAGCCACAGGAGGGACCATAGGGAGTAGGGGCATTTGTGGTAACAGCATTGCTGGGGGCCCTGGTCATGGTTCAGTGGCAGAGAGGAATACCTGAGGTCAGGCTCTCAGATATGTCAGAAAATAACAGCACCAGAAACCTGAAGCCTGAAACATTAACCTCCATGCTTCAGGACTAGAACCTGACTCGAACATAAAGTTAATAACTAAGAGATAAACTTCTAAAAATGAGTGAGCAAAAGTGAAAGAAACTGACCATAGCTAGCTACTATGGTGATATAGAAGATCTGGGTTCAAAACAGGTACTTGTACTTTAAAGAAAAATGTAAAATGGTCACAAGCCAAAAAAGAGTTCCTGAAAGAGCTTAAAAAAAGACTTTAAAAATCAAATAAGAGAGGTTGAGGAAAAATTAGGAAAAAAATAAGAGTAGTGCAAGAAAAGCAAGAAAATTATGAAAAAAAATTTGACCAACTGGGAAAAGAGATAAAAAATTTATTGAAGAAAATAACTCCTTAAAAATTAGAATTAGGCAAGGGGAAGCTAATGACTTCATAAGACACTAAGAAATAATAAAACAAAATCAAAAGGATAAAAAAATAGAAAAGAATGTGAAATATCTCATTAGAAAAAAAAAACCAGCTGACCTGAAGAAGAAATTGAGGAGAGATAATTTAAAAATTGTTGGTCTACCTGAAAGTTATGATTGGAAAAAAAGATTCTAGATATTATACTTCAAGAAATTATTAAGGAAAATTGCTCTGAAGTAGAACTGGAGGGTAAGATAGAAATTGAAAAAAAAATACACCCATCACCACCTGAAAGCAATCCCAAGATGAAAACTCACAGGAACATTATAGCTAAGTTTTGAAGCTTTCAGGTCAAGGAGAAAATGCTACAAGCTAGAAAAAAATTTAAATACTGTGGAGCTACAGTCAGGATAACACAAGATTTAGCAGGTTCTACATTCAAAGACTGAAGGGCATGGAACATATTCCAAAGAGCAAAGGAGCTGGGTTTGCAACCAAGAATAACTTACCCAGCAAAGCTGAATGTAATTCTGCATGGAAAAATGAATATTTAATGAATTAAAGGACTTTAAGGTATTCATGAGGAAAAGACCAGAACTAAATGGAAAATTTCACCTATAAGAATCAAGAGAAACATAAGAAGGTAAACATTAACAATTAAGACCAATTACAAGGGATTTAATAAGGTCAAACTATTTACTTCTTATATGGGAAAACATTTCTGTAACTCTTAGGAATATTTTCATTGCTTGGGTAATTTGAAAGAGCATACATAGATAGAAGGTTTGGGATTGAGTTGAATATGATGGAATGATTCTAAAAAATAAAATTTAGTAGGGAGAGGTAAAATGGAGCAATTATTTGATACAAACAAGATGTGAATGTAAGAACTGTTAACAGTGGAAGCAGGATAGGGGAGGAGGGCTGGTAGTGTTAGAACCTAGAACTGGGTTAAAGAGGGAATAAATCTACAAGGGTATAAAAGTCTTCTTAACTTACAAAGAAATAGGAGGGCAAGGGGATAGGATAAGAGAGGGACTCTTAGGACAGGTTCAGATTAGGGAGGCAGTAATTAGAAGTAAATCGATGTCTGCGGAGGGATAGGATAAAAAGAAAGGGAGAGAAGGATAAACAGGAAAAATCAGATGGAGGGAAATGTACAACTGCTAATTATAATTTTGAACGTGAATGGGATGCACTCACCCATAAAGCAGAAATGGATAGCAGAATGGATTAAAAACCCGAATCTGACAATTTGTTGTTTATAAGAAACACATTTAAAAATGAGAGATATACATAGAATAAAAATAAAAGGCTTGAGGAGAATTTATTTTATGGATTAAACATCAGAATCTGACAATTTGTTGTTTATAAGAAACACATTTAAAAATGAGAGATATACATAGAATAAAAAAAAGGCTGGAGGAGAATTTATTTTGCTTCAGCTGATGCAAAAAAAGCAGGGGTAGTAATCATGGTCTCAGACAAAGTTAAAGCTAAAATAGATTTAATTAAAGCAAATAAAAAGAGAAACTACTTTATAATAAAAGGTGCCATACATAATGAAGTAATATCAATACTAAACCTATATACCAAAAGCTATATCATACGTTATAACATCCACATTTTTAAAGGAAAAGCTAAATGAATTACAGGCGGAAATCGATAGCAAAGCTATAATAGCAGGGACTTCAACCTTCCCCTTTCAGAACTAGATTAACCCAACAAAAAATAAATTCTTTTTGGTCTTGTGACCATCTGATGTTTTTCATTGAAAAAAAGAGTGGCTTTTTAAACTCCAACTATCTTCCTCTGAATATGAACCCAGATCTTCTCTATCCCCGTAGTAGCCATCTATGGTTGGGTTCTTTCTCCTTTGCTTACTCATTTTTATTTTGTTTTATTTTATTTTTATCAATTTATTGTTATATGAAAGTTCTAGTCCTCAGATGTGAGGAATGATGCCCCAGGCCTCAAGTCCTTTTTACTGTTATTTTCTGAGTTCTATCTCGAGGACCAACTTTGGGCACTCCTCATCACCCCTACGCTACAGCTAGGGCCCCAGCCATGTTGTCCTGCAAACTCTCTCACTCTGTGTGGTCCCTTTGGTGGCTGCAAACTTCAGCTACCCTCTCCACCCACTCTGCTCACTCAAAAGTGCCCGTAGCCAGCAGGGTCCCCACCTCTTCTCCCCCGCAGCTGCAGCCCAGGATATGTCTGGTCAGCACAGCTGTGCTTGGCATCCCTCCACAGTAGAAACTCCTTCAATCTTCTCCTACTCAACCATCAGATGCCTACACTGTTCTTGAGATGAAAGTTCCTAAGGCTGAGGCTGCCTCCTAAACCACCTGCCCTTAGGATTTGTTTTTTTGTAGATTCAGCAGAGTCTTCCTGGAGGTGTTTGCATTTCACTCAGGATTAACCTCCACCCCTGGGGGTCCAGTCTTTCTTGGGATCTTCTCAAGTTGTTTTAAGAAGACAATTACTTTGCCCCAACTTTTAAAAAATTTCTGCTGTTCTAAACTCACTTTGAAGTGATGTTCTGTCTTTTTTTGGGGGGAGGAAATTTGAAGAGCCTGAAGTTTTCTGACCTGCTCCATGGTCTTTCCCAAACCCACACATTTGAAAATAATTACAGTAGCTCTTCGTGGTGACACAGACCTGGAAACTGAGAGGATGCCCATCAGCTGGGGATTGGCTGAACAAGCTGTAGTACATGATAGGGATGGAATACTACTGTGCTGTAAGAAATGAGGAGCAGGTTGATTTTAGAAAAGCACGGAAAGACTTGCATGACATAATGCAGAATGGAACGAACAGAACCAAGAGAATGTTGCATATGGTAACAAAAATACTGTTCAAAGAACAACTCTGAATAACAAAGTTATTTTGAGTATTATAAATATTAAAATAAACTACAAAATGCCTATGAAGGAAGGTGGTATCCACCTCAAGAGAAAGAATAAATTGATAAATGGAACTATGCATAGTATGGTTTTACATACATACACACACATATGGACACACATACATATATACACATACATACATAGCTGCACATATCTGTGTCAAATGGTGGCCATATCTAGTGTGGGGTGGAGAGGGAGGGAAGGAGACAGTTCAGAACTTAAAATGTAAGAAAATAAAAAAGGAAAGTAACTTTTATAAAAAGCTGGAGGAGAATGTACTTGATCCTAGAGGCCATAGGGAGCCACTGGACGTCATTGAGTGGGAGAGTGACGAGGTCAGATCTGACTTGAGAAAAATCCCTTTGGCAGCTGCTGGGCTGAGGATGGACTGGATAGGAAAATACCGGAGGCATGGACACCCATTAGGAGGCCATTGTCATTATCTAAGTGAGAGTGATTAGGTCAGGAACTAAGGTGAGGACTGTGAGGAGATAGCAGGGCTCAGATAGGAGAGATATGGTAGAGAAATGAATGGCCACATTGGGAACTGATTGGACATACGAAGTGAGAGAGTGTGAAGAACTGAGGAGAACATCCAGGTTCTGAAATTGGGAGACAGGAAGGATGGTGGTGTTTTCAACAGAAATAGGGCAATCTGGGAGACAGGTGGGATTAGTGGGAAAGATAATATAGGAGGTCTGTTTTAGACCTCACAGCATCAAAGAATTTTCACATTAGTAGGGGTCCAGCAGCCATGGAGTCCAATTGATATCCTAAAGGAATCCCCATGTAAGTAACAAGTGGTCCTCTAATCCCTGCTGGAAGCCCTCCAAGATGGTGCCTCCTCCCCTGCCCTTCCTCTCTGGGCAGCTCGTTCCCCTTTGGCACTTTCCGGACAGCTCTCCTTGGTAGGAAGTCAGGCAGTTTTGACTGACGCTGAGCCTCATTGAGCCTCTTTGTAACTTCCACCTCATCCTCCTGGTTCTGTCTCTAACAGAACAGATCCAATCAGTTTTCCCGGTGACATCCCTATCTACATTTGAAGATGGCTTTCATGTCTGCCCATGCTTTCTTACTCTAAGCTAAGCTTCCCAAACTCCTTCAGTCCAGCCACATGTGTCTTGAATGGATTACCCTTCACCCTCCTGGCTGTCCATGATATCAGTGTCCTTAGTCCACCATGATGTCCAGTGCCGAACATAATCCTCAAGATGAACTATGAGGAAGGGAGGGAAAAGTGGGATTATCCCCCGGTTCCCTGTTCTGTGCCCCTATTAATGCAGCAGGAGATTGAATAAGGTCTACTGGCTGCCACACCACACTGCACACCCCATATTGGGCTCACAGTGCACTAACACCCCCAGACATTTTCAGAAAAATTATTGTTCATGCCTTCCTCAACTTACACTTGTAAAATCGATTTTTTGTTACCCGACTGGAAGGTTTCACATTGATACCTATTGAGTGTCACTTAATGCTTTTGAAACATCTCTTGAAGATTGCAATTTGAAATATCAAAATAGGCAATTAGTAAGGTGGTGCTGAAGCTCAGAGGAGAG